GGAAAGGAGATTGTGATTACTGAGAAGCTGATCAGACAACTTATTGGATACTCTGAAACTGATGGTGAAACCAGTCTACAATCTGCTCGTGTGGATCTTGCTGATGTGTTTCAAGAAGTTACTATTTTTGGGGCACCAACTAGCAAAGTAAGGGAACTGAAGCCAGTCTACAGGATCTGGGCCAAGATTTTTCATGAGTTCCATCTTTCACAGAAAATCATCAAATTCCCCAGATTATGTCAGTGCTGAACAACTATACTTTATGTTCTGTATGAGCAAGGGACAGAAGGCGGACTTGCCTTATCTTCTGTTCAGTCACCTTCTGAATCATATAAAGGAAACAAGAGAAGATGTAAGAGTCAAAACTGGAAAAGTTAGGAATTGGATTCCTATGGGTAGGCTGATATCAGACATTCTAACAGAGAATGGTCTTGTGAAATATCTGTATGACACTGGATTGACAGAGGATCTGTCATATGTCATAGGTTCTGTCATTAATGGCAATACTCTGAAGAGGATGAAGGTCATCACAGAGCTTGCCAGCAAACCTAAGAAAATTGCTACTAAGGATGTCAGCAACAGAAGGATTCCTGTTGAAGATTTTCCAATGTTCACTGCTGACGAACCAAGGGAGATAATCTTATCCAACATAGTTGGTTGTCTGTTAAATGGTGTTCCTCTACCTGTTAACATCATCCAGAAGGAAGGAGAAGTTCTGCCTAATCTTGTTAGAGAAAGGCGTTCAAAGAAGATTGTTGAAGAAGGATCTGAGGCTCAGCCAAAGAGAAAAGCCTCTAAAGCTGCTGTTAAGCCTCAGAAGATAAAGAAAGTGAAACCCACTTCTCCAGAGGCAAGTCTGGAAGACATAAGAGAAACTATCAAACAGGTATTAACATCTGATCCAACTCCAACCATTCACTCTCCATTACCTTCACCTCCTTTATCACCTTCTAGACCACAATCATCTGTTCCACCATCATCTGGAATTCATACATCTGAACCCCCTCCATCTCAAACTACACATTCTCAACCATCTTCTGTACAAACTCAAATTGAACCACCTCAAACAGAAATACAACCAGAACATCAACAACAAGAACCATCTCAGCCAGAACAACAAAAACTACAACCAGAACAACAACAACAACTGCCAGAACATCACTCTCAACCCATTTCATCTGAACCTCCCCAACCAACACCATCTGAACATCCCTCAATAATAGAACAATCGTTACCTGGTCCAGAACCCTCAAATGACATTCTTGATCTGGAACCACTTGCAACCATGGTTGTCTTGTCATCCCCTCATGCCACTCCACTGAATCATCTAATTCTAAATCAGAAGTTCCCTCACCCTCTTGTTTACACATTCCTGATCCACTCAAACCTGCATTTTCTGATCTATCAGCACCTGATCAAATAAATCATAGACTTTCACTTCGTTCAAAATTAAACCTCTCAGATTTTCAAAATTCATCATCTGAAGCTGAAATTTCACCAACCCCTACACCTCAACTCACAATACCACAACCATATGAACCTCAACCATCTGCATTTCAACCATTTGACCAACCATTATCTGATCCAACACCTCCTAATATCACTTGTGAACAACCTCAGCCAAACTCTGAATCTGCTGAGAAAGTGACCCCTAAGGAATTTCTTTACCCCAACCCTAGATCAGATGTTGATAAACTGTTTGAAAATTTCAAAAAGGAAGTTCGTATGGGGATTGCACGTGTGGAAGAAGAGTGTCTGTTCAGTATAGACCCTGTTAAGTCTGAAGCTGCTTGGGATAAATTTATCTCTAAGTTCAACGTGTTGGCCTCTCATCTCAAGACAGTCTGTGCTGAAGATGCTAAGGCGAAGTTTGCTGAGTTGGTAAGACAGACTCTGATGAGCATTCCCAAACCACCAGTGCTGCTTCTAGAAGCTGCTCCTGCTGAAGACTCTCCATCTGAAGATGTTGCATCTGATATGGACATTGATGCGTCTGCATCTGAAGTGAAGACTGACAATTCAGAACTTGTGAAAGAAGTTAAGGAAATCAAGTCCTGGATGATCAAACAAGAACAAACCACTGAAGAGATTAAGACTTGGATGGCCAAGCAAGAAGAGTCTACTACAAAGATCACAGATCTTCTGACCCTGATTGCATCTCGTCAACCTTAGTTTCTTTTCATGTTTTTGCACTGCTATTTTGCATTTGTTTTCTCTTGTTTGTTTGTTATCATCTGTTATGTGAACCATCTGAATGGATGAAATTGTTTGCTTTGCTTTTCTTCTATTATCTTTTCTGTCGTTACACATCTTTTTGATTATGACAAAAATGGGGAGAAAAAGAATCTGATTGTTCAATCCATAAGCAAATACTAAAACAAAATTCAGACATATTATTAACTATCTTTGAATTTAAGTCTTTCAGATTCTATTGTTTCATCTGACAAAATAAATTCATTGAAGTTATCCTGAGAATTACCCAACCAGACTCTGATTCTTGAAGCAAATTGTACTCTGAGTCTAAACGCAAAACTAGACTCTGTGTTTGAAAGAAGTCATCAGACTCTGATTAACCAGACTCTGTGTTTGAAAGAAGTCATCAGATTGTAAGAACACAGATTGTCTCTTAGTAATATCTCTATGTTTTGATGATAACTCATATGAAATTTTGTATTAAAGAATTATATACTCTAAAATTGGTTCGTGAATATTTGCTGCAGATAATTAAAGTATATATACATTCAAGAGCAAATTAATCTGAACATGGAACTATGGAAGGCTCTGAAGAGTCAGAATCATCTTATAGAAGAATCTGAGCGCTGTCTGCAGAAGGATCTGAAGCAGAAGCTACAGAAGAATCTGAAGCAGAAGCTGCAGAAGGATCTGAAGCAGAAGACTCTAATAAGATCTGAAGACTCTGAACCATTGAAGAACTTTGCATGAGAGTTAAGAAGCACAATTTTTCAAAAGACTCTGAAAGTTCTACACGCTGTATGTATTGAGGATCTGATTCATAAAACTCTGCTCTGATAGAACTACACGCTAAAGCACACTTGCTGCATTACTCTGATTCAGCAAAATCTGATGGGTATCCAAGACTCTGATCATGCAAAATCTGATGGTTACCTTGCTGAAAAGAAATACTTATTGAAGAAGAATTCAAAGTAATATCCTTTGATTTGGCTCAACGACTCTTTCCTCTTTCATGCTTGACACTAGAACACAGACCAAAAGCATTTCTCTGTACATTCTACTTCCAGGAAAGGTCATGTGATGTAAAGACAAAAAGGTTCAGGCCTTTTCTATACACAGCCTCCAACGTCAAGACTTTGTGGACTACTGTGCATATAAAAGCAAGTCTTCATCATCTTCTTCAGTAGAAATCAAGAACCAACGAACCTTTGATAGATACTCTTACAAGCTCTCATACAATATTCTTATTGCTGAGTCTATTCTTTTGTTCTTAACATTAAGTGAAAAATCACTGTTGTGATAAAGCTTGTTAGAAGCATTCATACACTTGTATTAATCTTACATTTTATTGTAATAGTTCCTTAAGAAGATCCAGTTGGGATCAGTAGTTCTTGAGAAGACTTTGAACAGTTGTTCTTAGTGCTTACTATTGTAATCAGTTGATTAAATAGTGGATTAAGTCCTTGTTTGAGAAAGGCAAATCACTCTAGATAGGGTGGACTGGAGTAGTTGAGTTCAACGAACCAGGATAAAACTACTTGAGTTTTTTACTTCTACGTTTTATCTTCATACTTATTCAACCCCCCTTCTAAGTATTTTCCCACCTTCAGATGGTTCCCACTCTACCATCTAAGAGCGGATATTTCAGTGTTATGTATCGTGTGGAAGTGGGAGGCTCTGTTGGTGGCCGGCGCTGCTAGGTTGCAGGTGAGCGGTTAGATTGATGGTGTTGAGGCTACTAGGAGCGTAGTTCTCTCTAAGTAGTAGTAAATGTGTATGACTTGAGAGTTTGTCCTTATCCTTTTGAGAGATAATGTATTTATAGAAGTTTTTGATATGTAGGATTTTCTTGGGAAAGGTCATCGACCCCTTAGTGAAAATGTGGATTGTTGAATCCCTATTCACAAGAGAGACGCGGGTCAGTAACGACTATGATTTTGTCTTTATCTAAGATACGTCTTATCCCACGTTTTCTCTTTAAAGATGAGGAAAACTTAAGGGCGAGGAGGTACCTCCATGTGGATGACCTCGCGTCGTCGCATTTTCCTAGGACGGTTCCAAAATGTTGCTTTAAGCAAAATGATTTGCAAATATAACACCACACAACTAAAAATAAATAAAACACAACATACACAAACAATTAAACAACGCTATTGTGAAGGAAACCATTCATAACTGATCGCAGATCTTGAACCTACTAGATCTATCATCAACCGATCAAATCACATCAAACGAGAATTAAAAGAATACATCAATACAGCACCAATCTTTCAATTATTGACAATAAATGATAATAATAATAATAATTTTTATAAGTTTAAAAACTAAGAACGAATAAACTAGGATTCGAAATTGATTTCCCCGAATTTTCACATGAACTATAAAATGATATCGGACAGATTAGGAGATATGTTACTTTAATTTGAATTCTTATCTTAATCATTAAGATTGACTTTTTAATTACCAAACCATGCAGACTAAATCAATCATAGAAAAATTCCACTTGTCAATTACTTACACAAACCAACTTTGTTTAATTAATTACTTTATATGAAGTAAATTAACGCCTTGATCAAAGTATTTTTTATTAATAATCTAGCTTCCTTGATGAATGTTTCTTACTATGAAATTGTCAATATTTAGCCCTAGTCCACTTTTGAAAAATTATTTTTTATGCACTCTCACGTTTCTTAAGTCACTATAAATATACATTTCAATGTGCATGCATTGCAACACAAATAAATCATCATAAACCCAACAACTTCTTCACAAGATCATCATCAATAATCATTAATTGAATAGTAAAAATGTCCAAAATATTTTTCTCAATGTTCTTCCACACATTATTATTTGCAACTCTTGCAACCTCAACATTTTCGACACTAACACCAAATTACTATGACTATACTTGTCCCAACGCTTTGAACACCATTCAAAGCGTTGTGAAAGCCGCGGTCCAAAAAGAAAATCGAATGGGTGCTTCTTTACTACGTTTGCACTTTCACGATTGTTTTGTTAATGTAAGAATATCTATCTCAATTTGTATATATGCATGTTTAAATATGTACATCTTCCATGACAAAGTTTTGATTTTTTTTTATTTAGGGTTGCGATGGTTCGATTCTTCTAGACTCTACACCTTCCATGGATAGTGAGAAAAATGCAAATCCGAATATCAACTCGGCTAGAGGATTTGAAGTGATAGATGAGATCAAACAAGCTGTTGATAAAGCATGTGGAAAACCAGTTGTTTCTTGTGCAGATATATTGACCGTAGCAGCTAGAGACTCCGTCGTCGCGGTTCGTAATATTAATATTAACACTTCTTCTTTATATCTTTTTAAAGTAATTTCAAGATATTTTTCATTACTTTTTTATTTGTTGTTAGTTGTTCAAAAATAGTATTAACAAGTTTAACCACAATTTGTGAAATAACTTAAAAGAATCGGTCTAAGTTGATAAAAAGACTGATGTATGCACCTTTATTTTTTATGGTGTGAAGAGTTAGCACGAAATAGCTATAATTAATAAATATGTAAAAATAATATGTCTAAAGTTGAAATTGCTATTAAATTTGAATATATCAAAGTGAAGTCACACAAGCTACACGTTACGAGTATTTTTTACATATACCTTAAAACTTCAAACTTGGAAAAAACTCTTGTAACAAGAATAATCTAAGAAACAGAGATTCTGTTATTCTGGTACAGATTTCAGATAAGACACTGACACGATTTGAACACTCTAACATCAATAATATCAAAAATATAAAACATCTAAATTGACGTAATGATACATATATCACTGTATTTAATCCTAATTTATATTTTGTCTGAATTGTTTGACAGGAATGTTTGACGACACTGATTTAAAGTGTCTAAAATAAAGAAAAAAATTCTATATTTTGAGAAACACTTCTCTAGTTTTTGAGACACTTTTTTAACTTTTTTGAAATGTATCGTACTATTTATGTCATTTATATAAGTGTCGAAGATTAATATAGGTCGGATACCATGACTCTAGAGGTGTCTGTATTTCATAGAAAAATATAAAACTGAATTCTTTTAGAGAAATATTAGTATTAAATTTTCAATTATATGGATGCAGTTAGGAGGACCATCATGGAAAGTGAAACTAGGAAGAAGAGACTCAAAGACGGCAAGTCGTGCCGATGCCGATGCAAACATCCCGGGACCATCTTTCAGCCATGCTCAACTCCTCAAAAACTTCAAAAACCATGGCCTAAACGAAAAAGACCTAGTTGCTCTATCCGGAGCACACACTATTGGATTTTCGCGATGTCTTTTATTCAGGGATCGAATCTACAATGAAAACAACATCAATTCTAACTTCGCGAAAGAGCTTCAAAACATTTGTCCGAGAAACGGAGGAGACTCTAACCTCGCACCTCTGGACAGTGTTACACCGGCGAAATTTGATGTGGTTTATTTCGCAGATTTGATTGAAAAGAAAGGTGTTCTTCATTCTGATCAGGTATTGTTGAATGGCGGTTATTCTGGTGCCTTGGTTAGAAAATATAGTTATGATACTAGGGCTTTCTATAAGGATTTTGCAAAATCTATGATTAAGATGGGAAACATTAAGCCACTTGTTGGAAATCAAGGTGAAGTTCGTTACAACTGCAGGAAAGCCAATTAAGTCATTAAGATATGGTAAAGAACATTGGATTTATTAATTATGTAAAAGTTTAAGAAAAGAGCACTTGAATATCATTGTGCACAAGTGTGATGTAGTTTATGATATTGAAACAATGTAATGTTGTGTATTATTTGGGATTCTCTTCATTTCTGTTTAATGTTGTTGTTGTTGTTATGATTCATGGATTGATTTTTATTAATTTGATAAAGTTGTTTAATCTCTTCTTGGCTTCTGTAAAAATAGTTCAAATGGTTAGAAAAGAAGAAAATATTAGTCATCTCAAACTCTTTAATCTTTTCTTTTTAATTTTTCAAACATATTTAAATTACTTCTTGTGAAGATTAAGTCATTCACATATATGCAAACGATTAAGATGTCTTCATTTTTAATTTGGAAATACATGGCATGGTCCTGCTTATTTGCTTTGAATTAGTTCTTGGTGCTTACATTAACTCGTATATTTCCTTTTTTTAATATAAATTACATTATATTCTTGTGTTTTCACCTTGTTGTTCAAAAATTGTTTAATGTATACTTCTTCATCTAAAACTCCATTAAAAAAAGAAGACTTCATGCTCATCTGGTGAATTCTACACCTATGCTGGGAAGTTAAGAGAGATTATTAGTATTATTGACTCCAAGCGAGTAACTAGAGAAAAAAAACTTAGTTGTAATCAAATCCCAACCTTATGAATTTAGCATTTTTCCCCTCGTCTTACTTTGTGTTTTTCAATTTATCTATTTACTTTCTTCTCTGCCATGTAGAACCACTTGACATTGATGGATTTATGACCTTTGGATAAGGAGACAAGTTCCCATATCAACTACTAGAAAAAACATCTTACGTAATATGTTATTACCTCAATCATTAAGTCAATCGTAGAAAGAGTTCTTATTTAGGCGCATGCAATTTTTTTTTATTCGTAATGTTAGACGATGGCAATGATTTATAAAGGGGTTAAATAGATCACTAAGTTTTAACAAAAATCAGAGCTTAAAAATTGTTTCAAACACGTGCGAAAGCGGTTGTGAATTTTAATTGTCTAAATGAACGGTTAATGGTTAGATCGGATATGCGTAGCCCATATGGAATGAAATCGATGAGATAAACTAATCAACAATTTTCAAAATAAATTATCCAAATTAATACCACTTTGAATCAACCAATTTTCAATGAAATATTAAGATAAAATTAAATTGAAAAATTCACAAACAGTTTGTGTGCGATCAATATGTCAAACACTTGGTGTACATAACACCCTAAGTTCAATTTTCTATGAAATGATAGTGCAGAATTTTTTGCAATTACAATCTGTAGCACCCCAAAATTTGCCCTTACGTTTTGACCGTAACTGCCTTTTCTTTCTCTGCATTTTGCATTTCCGCATATCATAGCATTGGTTCTCGAGACATAGGATCAAAAAATTTTGGCGGCTCAAGGTTCCCTTTTATTGCAAGAGTTTAAACAACGAGCGTCAGAAGCTCCAACATTTATTTTGGCCAGCAACCGAGCGGTCGATTTTATTTTATTCAGCAGGTTATTTTCAGCACAGGAGACGGTGCACAAGCTATCTCAGGCGTTCTCACAGTTATGATATTCAAGAGCAGGTTTTAGAGGTATAACAAGGTTCAGAATACGTGGCAACGGACAATTGTACAAGATTTCCTCCATTTGGCGCCAAAAGTGACATCTTTTGAGCAGGGTAACCGGTTACTGCATATAGGGTAACCGGTTACTTCAAGCGCAGTTTGCCAAAATATTTGAATTTTCAGCATGTGTAATTTTCCAATCATTTTCAACCATCGATTTCACTTGATCATATTTGGAAGGATCTAGAATTACTCAACTTTCTCCATTTCCCTCCAAAAATTCAAACACTTCATTCTTAATTCCACTCCTAATTTCCATTCCAAATGTTAATCCTCATTCCAAACCACATTTTGATTTCAAACCTAGAGCTTATTTAAGTGAATTTTCTCCAAACCTCACACAAAAAATTACCCTTCATTTTTCAGATTACACTCTCATTCTTGAGAATTTGCTCTCAATTTTCTCTCTACTTTTTCACTCCCAAGACCTCCATTAGAGCTCTCTCACTTGAATTCTTTGATTCTTCATTGGAACCATAGAACCCTAGAGCTAAACCTCCATCATTCATCTCCATTATCTTCAATTCACCATTCAATTTTCGTTTGGTTTTAGATATGAATTTGAAAGCTAGATTGGAATTGCTTTTTGTGGATTATTTTGCTTGATCTTGTTTGTTCTTCATTTCTACCACAAGGAAACTCTTGGATCTTGAAGAATCTCTGGGTTTCTTGCTTGGATCTGCTAATTTCAAGTGAATCAACACTCACCAAAGCAAATATCTGCTTTGAAGGTTGGCAATTCTATATCTAATTATGTTTTTAGCTTATTTGGATGATCATAATGTAGATCCATGGTTTTGCTATTTTTTGATCCATTTTGATGATTTGGATCTTGGTGATTTGTGATGTCAATGCTTGATTGTGTTTACATGATGCTTGATCACTGTTTCTTGATGATAATTCCGTGCTTGATTGATATCATGATCATATGGATGATTAGAGAAGTTGTTTGGTGCTGAAAACTGCTTTTAAAAACTGATTTTCTACATCTGGTTCAGTGGTAACCGGTTACCCTATATAGAGTAACTGGTTATCCTATCAAATTTCACATTTCTGGGCAGATTTGCCTATTTTTTGCATTTTTGCATTTTTTACCCATTTTTGTTTGCATTTATTGCATTTCTTTTTGCATTTTTTTTGCATTTGTTTGCTTGTTTAAGTTCCCTTTCATATGTAAACTTCGTGGATTGATATGATGAATTTATGTGATTTGTTTTGGACATATTTCATTGTTCTTGAATGTTTGATTGCGATTCTTCGACGCGTAACTTTTGGTTTTCGTTTTGAGTGTTTACATGTTCATGTGATTTGTTTGGTGAATGATCTTTTCACTTGTTTGATTGTAGCATGTTAATTGATGATCATTGATGAATATGTTGATGAATATTGTGATGCATGATTGCATTTGTTTCCGTTTCCCCTTTGATGCGTGTTCGTTTGATCGTTTGATCGTCCATTTTTGAAATGAATACTTGATCTTGTCACTTCTTGTTGATGCAGAGTTGTTGATCATTTATATTTGATTGTTGAAGCATGTTCACTGTTGCATGATGTCTACCCCTGATTGTTGTTTTCATTTGATTAATTGTATTCAAACATGCTTTCTTGCTCCGTACTTTCCACAGCTGTCCATGCTTTGCACTTGCATGCTTTCTTTGCGTTACTTGCTTGCTACCTGGATTTTCACACCTGTTTTTATGCTGAAACATGTGCTATTATATGTTGTCTTGCTTGTGTGCTGGATTTTATTGCTGCCTTGTGCAGGAGGCGCTGTTGTAGTTGCTGTTTTTACCTTGTTTTCTTGCTTTTTGCCTTGTCTTTGCATGTTCCCTTAGGATTCTTATTCCAATTTAATTTCCGATTGAATTTAGAGTAAGATAGACATTAGGATTTTAATCCAAGCATGATAAAAAGTAGGATAGTCCCTTTTAACCTCAACCTTAGGTCTATCTTTTGCATGCTAACATCAGAATAGTGTATCCTTTTGCATCCCGACCTTAGGACCACTTTGCATGACAACGTTAGGGACGAGTGTCCCTTAGACCTTCCGTGCGTCTCTCTTCTCATCTCAAAACACATTCTAACTCATCTAATAAATACGATGAACGTTGTGTACCACGAGCCTTAAGTACATGAGAAATGATGAGTGAGAGGTTTCTCCTCACTTGTCTAGAGTGTTTAGTGTATGCCCTTTGGGCGATATGCGACGCATTCGCTCCTATGTCATAGTCTTTAGTGCAACGTGAATCACAACGTAAACTAATTCACTTCACTAAAACTCACAAATAAAACTCAAACCATTTTATCCTTTAGGATCGTTGTTTAAAACTTCATTTTCATAAAAGAGTATGTTACTTTTCCGTTCTACCACAAACAGGCATCGTCCCTAACTGCTAGAATGGGTGTTTAACGTCACTCGTAAAAAAACACTTAACCAACCTGTGGTTTCGTAGTTGCCCGAACTACATTAGCTCTGATTTCTTATACCAGATGAGGATACATAGGCACAAGGCGGCGATGTCTTGGCTAGCAACCTTCCCCCATCACCCGTAGTTTCCCGAACTACGTTGACTCTGACTTTCCCATTACACGAGGGAATACGTAGGCATAGGGCGACGATGTCCTATCGAGTCTCTTTTTTTTCCTTTTGTTCTCGTTTCCATTTAGCAGTAGCTTATAGATAAACACACCCTTTGATAGACAACAAGCGTGGATCCCGTTGAGTACAACGGACGTGAGGGGTGTAACCCCCGATTCTGAATTTCCCATTTTGTTGAGTCTTTTGATTTATTTTGATTGATTATTATTTCATTTGTGAAATTTGAATATGAATATGATATGTGTGCATATTATGATATTTTATTATTCGGAGAGTCTTGGGAATTAATTAGAGGGTGTTTTAGATAATCCTTAATTAGTTGTTATTTGAGAGAAATAGAATAGAAAGAGTATAAGTGGAAATAGAGAGAAAAGAGATAGAAAGAAATAAAAAGGAAAGAAGAGAAAAGAGGAGGAAGAGGAGAAAAACCTAGAACCATCAAGAATCAACTTCTAAGTTTCGATTAATCAGGTAAGGCTGTGAAACTTTATTATTCTTTCGATGTGTATGATTATGTATGTTTCTGTTGGTTTGATTTTGGATTGGAGAGAGTTTTGCTCATTTTCCGTTTAAGGTCGAATTTGATTTAATCGGTAGAAACCGAGTTTTAACGGTTAAAAATGAGAATAAGTGATAAAGTTTAGTCGAGGAATGTTAGACTAAGGCGGTTGAAACTGGTTTGGTGAGAATCGGTTGATTTTGGAAGGATTGGGCGATTTTGATAGTTAGGGATTTTTGAGTTCGCAGATTC